TACGTCCACTGATCAAATGTTCACAGAGTAACAGAGAGTCATTGAAAATATGTTAATAAGAATATTAGAAATAGAATCCATTTCATCGTTGTTATTCACCGGAGGAGCATTCACATTCGTATTTTCAACTAAAAATACAGCCATATCACTGCCTTTATTCACGTACTTGCAAATGTATTTGATGATCTTTACTGAACTACAGAATTCAACATTAATATGAGCATTAAATGTTTTGCTTAGCAAAAGCGAATATGGGACCACCCAACGGTTATTGACCCAACGTCAATGTCTATGTTGTTGATATTTTTAACAAATGACTGTCCGCCATTATCGGGATTTCTTCAACGATATATTGGATATCAGTCAACATTTGTGATCGTATCGTTAGTGAAATTTTTCGGAAAACTTTTAATGTATTTTCCATCCACCATACAAGGCGATGAACGATTCAGATTTCCGCATGGGCCATGAATCATGTTTGCTGTAACAATAACAAACAATATTTGATCAGTAGACGGATCTGGAATCTCTGTAGAAATTATACTGTCGATTTCTTCAAGACGTATTTTGTTGATTAATCAAACAAAAATGTGGGCATAAGATAATCCCCGCTTTTACCATTCAACGGAATACATCCAACAACGTATGAGACCGAATATATGTAATTTTATGATCAAATTTATTAAAGACTTCAATTTTTGTCGGACGATGTATTGTGTTTTGGCTAGGCAATAACAGAAATGTAATCTCCGGCCATTTTGGATTACATGTGAACGTGATAAATTAAACACCGTTCATATTCGTGCACGTAGGTCAGAGCATCCTGTATATACTATTGCATATGACGGGGACTGTCCATGTATGATGATAGTAGAATGACAGAGTTACCGATTTGAGCGGCGCACAGTGGGAGGAATACATGTTCTAGCTGGCCAAAATTAATATGATCAAAAAATCAATGAAATTAATTTTGATAAATATATAGTACACACATTATAAATTATATTACAAAAGAATTTATTACTTTAAACTTATAAATATATCAGAAAAAACAAAATATTAGGTATCAAATAATAACGAAATAAGAATGAATACAATATAATAATTTTACATAATAATGTACATTAATATATTTTACTACATTTACATTAAAGTTTTACATAGTTAATACATTAGTTTATATATATATATATATATATATATTTACAGTAAATTAGTGAATTTTATTTATTTATTTATTTACTTATGTTTAGAAATTAAAAAAAAAAAGATATTTTTAAATTATATTTTTTATTAACAAATATTAAAATCAATTGGAATCACTTTCACTACCGCTGGATTCGGATTCATCACATGATTTTTCGATGTTCAATAAGTATATAACTTCTGGAGGTAATTTAGTTGGAGTTTTTTTAGGTTCGGTTCTTAATGAGGTTATTTTAGGATCAGATGTTACTAAAAGAAAATTGAAAAGATCTGTATTGGTATTTAAACGTGAATTATGTCTTGAATGATGTTTTCTACATCGAATATAGTCCTTGTTTCGTGCCTCTTGAGCCTCCTCTGATAACTGGCCAATCGGAACAAGGGCATACTGTATTATTAATGAGCCGTGTATTAATATTTTGTGTATGGTTGGAGGCATACGATACCAATCATAAAGTTGGACATATAGCTCAGCAGTTTCTTTTGCGTACTTGTCAAATCGTTCGTAGTTTATTTCTAAGCCACTAGACATAGTCGTTAAAATGACAGAAAATCTATTCAACAAATTGATATCAACTCCGGTTATCTCAGACACCTTATCAGTGTTTTTAAAAAACCTACGAGCAACATTTCCAGTATTGGAAGTACCTCTTCCCTGAATAACTTTATCGACTTTCAAACCTAATTCATTCCAAAGCCTAGATTGTACCAACTTTTTTTTTTCTGCAATACCATTATTTTGCTCAGTAGTGGTCCTTTTGGTTGTAGGGGCTGATTCTAATTTATATGAAATATGTAAGACACATTCTAAAAATTTGATCCACGCATGTAAAGTGGATAATCCATATTTAAAGTTATTTTCATTAATTTGAAAATTATGAATTTTATTTAAGTTATTCATGTTTTTAGGGTTACATTTACAAATAAAGCATACCTGACTTGACGTTTCAGTTAGAGTATTAATTATTTTACCATCAACCATTGTCATAAGCATAGCATAATTTACACTAATAACATTATTATTAATATTTAAATCGAATGATT